GTTAATTAATTTGCCTGGGAAGTAATAAAAGTGGTCACCGTCGTGTGGTCACCGAAATTTGAAAAGGACAAAAATTTAGAGTGTTCAAAGACGCGCAACAAGGATAGTTCCGGGTTTGAAAGGCAAGTCCTATGAGGAAAGATTAAAGATTATGAAGCTTCCAAGCCTCCGTTATCGGCGTCTGCGTAAGGACCTCATTGAAGTGTACAAGAATACTCATGGCTTATACAAGGTCCCAGAAGGATTACTAGAATTTGAAACAAGAACCAACACCAGGGGCCACGGCTATAAACTAAAAATCAACGGTGGAACGGTGCAGTGGTGCGTGCAGTGGTGGGTGCAGTGGTGGGTGCAGTGGTGCGTGCAGTGGGGCGTGCAGTGGGGCGTGCAGTGGTGCGTGCAGTGGGGCGTGCAGTGGCCCATATGATGCAGTAGGATGAAGCCTGTCTCCGTATCACGGCCTCCAGCCGTGCGCGACTCCAGCACAATTGCAGCGCCATACAGTCGATGCTGTTCGTAATATGAGGATTATATATTAAAATAATTTTATATATTCAAACATATTTTATATTCAAAAATAAATATTGTTGATCTATAGCTGTTTTAAATAAATGATTTAGTATGAATTTTGACCTTACATGGACAATTGTTCCACACATTCACGAACAACAATTCAACTAGTCATTTAACACAACATTTCAATCATGCCTAGTTGACTAATATTTTTTTATTCTAACTGAATTCTAAGTAAAATTCTATGAAATGAGTTATTATTCAACACAGACTCGCACAAAGCAGGCAGCGGACCTTGGAGAGAACCTGGGGGAAGTTGAAGAAAACTCGTACCTAAAACATTGTCTCCGTATTGACATTTTGCGTAGCATCGAAGCATAGGAAATACCCCCAAAAATGCAAAAATAACGGTTTCATCATCGTGATTTAAGCTTGACATTAACATTGCGAGCATTAATCTTATAACACAATATAGTTATGATTCAATATCAATTAATCAATATCAATATCAATTATGATTATATATGAATTAATCCAATTTTTCATTGAATCTATGAAGAAATTATCATTGGTGCAAATGCGAGTTTAGGGTTGAGGCAATAGGAAGGTTATGGGCAGCTGGGATAAGGGATACCGAACAATTATGATGCAGTGGGATGAAGCGCGTCTCCTTATCAAGGTCCCCAGCCTTACGCGTCTCCAACACATTGCAGAGCCATACAGTCGATGTTCATAATATGAGGATTATATATTAGAATTATTTTATATAATCAAACATATATTAAATTCAAAAAGAAATATTTTTGATCTATAGCTGTTTTAAATAAACGATTTTGTATGAATTTTGACCTTACATGGGCAATTGTTTCCACACATTCACAATTCAACTAGTCATTTCACACAGCATTTCAATCATGCCTAGATGACTAATATTTTTTTATTCTCACTGAATTTTAAGTAAAATTCAATGAAATGTGTTATTATTCAACACAGACTCGCAGGCAGCGGACCTTGGAGAGAGCCTGCGGGAAGTTGAAGAAAACTCGTACTTATAACAATGCCCCTCGCATTGACATTTTATGTAGCATCGAACATAGGAAATACCCCCCAAAAAATGAAAAAATTACCGGTTTCATCATCGTGATTTAAGCTCGACATTAACATTGCAAGCATTAAATGCTTGCACATAGCTATGAACACACAATATAGCTATGATTGAATTAATCAAATTTTTCACTGAATCTATGAAGAAATTATCATTGATGCGAATGCGAGTTTGGGTTGAGGCAACGGGAAGGTCATGGGTAGCTGGTATAAGGGATACCGAACATGCGGATTGTAACTGCACAATTTACGACTTCATAATGAGTATATATACGGAACGATGATAACTCCGCCGTTTTTTCAACACTTGAGAATTTCCAATCTGAAACATCCTGTTATATTTTATTATTCGTATATGCAAGGCTGTGATATTCAGTAGAATGATGAGCGATGCCTGGTGAATGTATAAGATTCTTGAGCGAGCAGTAGACTGCTTGTCCGCAAATGTTTGGAGCATAATGTAAAATAAATGTTTTTGGTTTTGCACCAACACGCAAAAGTTTGTTTTGCACCAACACGCAAATTAAATTGAATTCAGCAATGTTTATATATATGCCTATTATATCTAGACATACTGTTTCTTTAAGCAAGTTTCATTGAAGACCAGATAATTTGTTTTACTGACAATTAGGCGTTGTCATGCGATGCCCCGACGCCATCCGACTCGCGCTTATAGAGTCTCTCATCATTAAGGATGGGACTCCAGCCATCAACCTTCAAACTACTGGATTTGTCAGAAATTTGAGACTGTTTTCGGAGAAATTTTTGGTGCTTTAATTCTTGATCATCTGCATATTTTCAATTATTTCGAACCCAATTGATTTTTGAGTAGTATTCTATTTAAATGATATTGTACAAATGTCGATCCAAATTTCATCTCTCAATTCGTATTGTAACTTGATGATGAATGACTGATACATTCAAAACCTTCTTAACGAAATGAAAATGTACCCTTATTTCTGCTTTACCAGTGCAAACGAAAAATATCTTTCGATATATTGAAACAACTAATTGGATAATTTTCAATAAAACAAATTCGCTGGTCTTCGATGAAACCTGCTTAAAGGACCAAATTTTGCCAACCTATACTAATATACTGTTTCATGCCACATTGTTGAGTAGGTCAGTTGATTTGTGTATGAGTCCTTGAATATGGCTATCAAGTTTACCTCATTTCAACGATTTCATACCACAGATATAAAATCTCTGCTATCTTTGCTCCCTTCAAAGTCCTCGCTTTATTACAGTACAAATCCCTCGCTTACGCAAGAGCTTCATGATTACATGTTCCACTTTCCATTGCTGACGGGCTTTAGCTGCCACCACACTCAGGGAAATAAGTGAAACTTTGTCCGATTAGTGTTGCAATTTTCGCCTGAGTGTGGGTCTCCCTGACCCATGTTTGGCGGATCAAAGCGGCGTATCAGGGCTACTTCCGCTCGCCGTTTGTGCTATGGGTAAGAAAGCGTGTCACTAATTGGACAACATTACCCGTTTATTTGTCCAAGTGCAGTTTCGCAGCGATACATCAGCTTTTTCCTGTTGATGAGATTAGATGCATCCTGCGCCACACCAGACCGCGCCACCTGAACGCTGCCTGCTACAGTGTGGACTGTGGCACCAGACGCGTGTGGTGACCCGGCAAGTCCTCTCGATTGATTAATTTATAACGCTTATAGTATACGTGAATATTGAGTTAATTATGAACAAAGTTCATGCAGTCTATGTGATTATCTCCATTATTGGCTTATTCGTGATGCCTCAAATCATTAATTTCTGCATGCATTCAAATGTTCAACATGGGCGAGCAGTGGCTGCTACTATATTTGTTTGTACCGCAATAAACAATGTTTTGTGATTAACGTGCAAAGTCTTTGTACGTATTCATCAAAATTAATGATATATAATATCATTTACAAAACCTACTATGGTTATCAAATGTACTGGTGAAGAAATCATTTAATCTCGGTTAAACATTATTTTCATAAATATCGAAATTATAATCAAAATGATAATACGTAAATAAGAATTTGTTACTTTTTTGTGACCGAGTATAGTGCCTCAGTTGAGATTCTCTGTTGGCACAATGAACATACCTCCATTTACATGAAATAATAATTACCTACATGAATATCTATTTGAACTATCAAAACTATATTTATAAATGCAGGCAAGTCGCATTACGAGGCGTAAATAAAATGATGAATAAGTTCAAATGAGGAGCAACATGCGATTTTGCCAATGCTGTTTGACAATTCAAATTCAATACGTGATTGATACCGTTTGTCTATTCAAACTCAGCGTTTACAACATGGTTTGTCTACTCAGACGCTACATGTATAATACAGTTTGTGTATGTAACCACTGCGTGTACATATAATACCGTTGGACTGTTCAAATTCCCTCAAATCATTCGGTTTGTCTATTGGAACTATTCGCAGATTATGCCTGTAAGAAATCAGTAGGTTGATTTGGGCCATTCACACTGGCACACAAACTCTGCTCTAATGAAGCGGTTTCCTACACGTCATCTTGAGCCTGCGCATTTCCCCCCGACATTTCCGCAAGCTGGCGAATTCTGGTGCAATTAAGTTGAACTAAAATTTAATAAGGCGTTAAGGTGTGAACCAGAAATCAATTATATATGGTGTTTATATAATTTATACTTGTACCAAATAACCGCGTAGGAGAATCACTTTTATATTTATTCAGTGCTGCTGGCAATTAATAACTGACTGCAAAGCTTCAATAAGGATCACATACATTTGGCTCCTTATCAACTAAGTTTAAAAAATAAAATAAATCATTTACTAGGAAAAAAATTTCATTTTAATTGTTAACTTATTTATGTGTGACCAAAGTGAACTTCGCTATCGAATAGAAGAAAATTATATAGATGCTCTGACTTTTCAATCTCGAGAAACTTGGGTTCCGGTGCTTTTTCTGAGGTGCATTTCTTGATTGATATGGACGGTTGCACCTCTCTGAAGTTGATGTGGAAGCTGCGGTGAAATACGTGAAATACATGGGAAATAAATATGAATGTAGTATGAAATAAATGTACCTCATACTATCAAAAATGTATTTTTTTGTTGCGAAATTAATATTTTATAGAGTTTTTTAAATTTATTGATTGAGATTGCGAATCAAACTTATGAAAATAAGTTAATTTAGGGAAAAATTTAGTCCTGTATGTTGCACAATTATTTTGTTCAACTGCACTTTTCGTTTCTGGAATCAAAAACTTTTACTTATGAAATGTTCGTTGTAATGAGAATGGCCTTACGTATGCATCGCTGTCGTCATCTAATTCTGAAAAGTATATTGACTTTGCGTACTTCCGACGCAGATCAGAAAATAATTGTTCTATTTATTGCCGATATACTTGAAATATTATTACATAAACCAAATACCATATTTAGAAGAAAAACTTAATTAGGATCAAAGAGCGGCATGCTATGTAATATATTTCTTCGGAAATCACTTCTAAGATATATTTTATTACTGCTCAACATGACGCATGTGGTGCTATCTTCACATCCTCTGTGGACTATACAAGGTGAGTTTCGGGAAATATCCAAACGTCGACTCAACATCAGGCAGGAAAAGCTTGTATCCTCCTCATGGAGCACTCACTAGTTGCTAAGTGAATACTGAATAGTGAATAATAAGTTTTAGCTCAGGCATGGATATTATGTTTACCATGATTTCGATCAGAAAGCTGAATAAATAACATCGGTCTCGCGAATTTGTTTTGAGTTACTCCACTAGAAAACTTGGCGATGTTACATTGTCGGACTTCATTCAGTAAGAAGTTGAATTGCGGTTTCTAATACATTCTCGGTTTTCTGTAAGCAATCTTATTCAATAGGATCATAATTATGTTTAAAAATGTGGCATAGAAAGATATACTCTGAAGATGGGCTAAAAATTGTTTTTATGCGATTTTTAGCGCATTTTCTCATTTATGGAAAAAATGCAGTATTGTGCTCGCCATGTCCGTCTGTCTGTCTGTCTGTCCGTCCGTCTGTCCGTCCGTGACCTCAAGTTTTCGTCGACGAGAAAATGCGCTCTCTGTCACTCACTGCAGTGAATACTGAGTTATATTTTTTTTTTATGAGTGACCAACCATGCATGTTTCGGACCAGTAGTTATAAACCGGTTTATCCAAGTTAATTATTTAAGCATTTCCGTGAACGACTTTGCTTTCTTTATAATTCGTACGAACATAATCTTACCCAATTTAGTGGTCGATTTTAATATTTTAATGCTTCGTTATTGGAATTTTTATGAAGGTTTTTAGCCACTTTACTTCGTTCATTTACATGAGGGCCTTGAAATATCTGTTTCTAGCCACGGCATTGATCTGGCCAGCCGCATCGTTAACAACGATGAATTACTTGGTATTCAGCCAATATTAAGACATAGAATTCCTTCGATCACACATAAATATATCGTTCAATAATAGTACTGCAATATTAGTACGTAAAGATAGTATCACTATATGGACAATTTCTCAGAATGGCTGATAAAGCACACGGATATGAGCCTTATAGAAAGTAATTCCCGATATATGTATATTAGTTTATTATATGAACAGTTCTACAAAGTTATCTTGAATTGGCTAGTCTCATCTGCAGCATGCCCGGCCAGAATCATGTGCTGCAATTATAACATTTATTAAGTTTTTAAATGCATGAGAATATCATCGAAATAATATTCATTACTTAAACTCTTTTTTTTTACTTTTAATGGAAAAGTTTGCCTGTGAAGATTTTGATCTACCGACGCGGTTGTTCGCTTCGGTCGGTGGCCATGCAACTCTATAGTCACACACATCGGCTTTAACAGTAAAAGGCAATTCAAACGATTAATTAAAGCTTCATCACAATTGTTATCTTCAAGTATGTTTTTACTATGAAGTTTTTTGTGCAGATTGTGATCTACCGACAGGCATTGACCACCCTGTGGGTCTCCTCAGCGCCAACATCCTAAACCTGGCCAGAATGACCTGGGTGAGCGACTCATTCTGGATGGAATATTCATGGAACGCGCAGCCTCAGTACGCATGCGGGCTACAGAACAACGTACTGTATTTTGTACAGAAGAAACAATCAGGACCAGATAAGGGGTTGCACTTCACGTTCACGACGTATTCGTCCTACAATGATTGGAGAATTAATCGGGATAATCGGGAGAAGGGTGGACAAGAAATAATCTGTCCTGGAACCATCGTGGCGCTGGATAAAGGTTCTTACGGATTCGCGTCTTGTGAAAAAGGTGGGGGTAGCAAAAATTTTTATCAATTGTGAAAGAATCTCATAGATGGAATCATAATTCATTTAGTTATGAATGAAAACAGAATCCTCGTATTTCAGTCCCATCGAATGGCTCGTCCAAAATATAGCTTTATACTAATGAAAAATTGCTAATCTTTCTCGCGCTCTAGATGACTATTAATCTTGTTCGCAGTAAATTTATGTAAATTTACTTGTTTCAAAATTTTACGTAGGAGTAACAGATCGAACGATCAATATTAAAAAAACTCTGACTTTTTCAAACCTTAGAATTTTTTGTTCGTATCCAAAATCATGTGATATAGAATTGTAGACGATAATATTACTTGAAAATTAGCGTATCGCCAACGATACTATGTCGCCACTGCGTCAAATGTGAAATTCTTCAATTACAAGACACGACATAAAATTCATATTGTTGATTAGCAGTGGTAAAAACGTGTCTTTGTATTATAGTCCTAACAAAAAAATAATATAATCCGCTGATTGTTTTTTCAGAAAATTCCTATTGATATATAATATGTTACAAAAATAGTTACCTGTGGTGGGCGACTCCTGTGCTATCAGTTCAATATTTTCCTGTCATTTATTACATGGCAGCGTAATATCATGGTGGCAACTCTTGTGATAGTCACGGCAGTTCCTATCGTCACTGCAACTAAGTGTTTTCTATCACTATCTCCAATCACAAAATATCCTATACCCTATCATTATCCCCTATCGCAAACCATCCTAGTCCCTATTATAACCCCCTATCACAAAATATCCTAGTCCCTATCACTATCCTCTATCACAAAATATCCTAGTCCCTCTCACTATCCCCTATCACAAAATATCCTAGTCCGTATTATTATCCTCAATCACAAAATATCCTAGTCCCTATCATTATCCCCTATCACAAAATATCCTAGTCCCTATCATTATCCCCTATCACGAAATATCCCAGTCCCTATCATTATCCAATATCACAATATATCCTAGTCCCTATCACTATCCCCTATCACAAAATATCCTGGTCCCTATGATTATCCCCTATCACAAAATATCCTAGTCCCTATCATTATCCCCTATCACATAATATCCTGCTCCCTATCATTATCCCCTATCACAAAATATCCTAGTCCTTATCATTATCCCTCATATTTCGCCAGACTACAGCAAGGTGTTGGCTGCATCACAGGACTGGCGGGCCGGGGTACCGCAGTCCTTCTTCCTAATCCTACTCGGGGTGGTCTCAGGCCTCATCCTCCTCGTCGCTGTAGTGGCAATCGTCGCGCTCATTATTTCCAAAAAGAAGTTCACGGGATTTTTCTCATTGCACAATCACAGATTAGACACAAGTCTGGCCCCACCTGCTACGACATTTGAGCCACCGAATATTTAACCTTTTTATTATACGTGATTTAGTAAACAATTTCACAAATAATGAGCAAAGTCAATCATCATGCCAAAAAATGCACCAAGTATTTTGAAAAAAAAAATAACTTTGTTTTTCTATTTGTTTAGTCTTTAGGGTTAGATACAGTGTGTGTTCACTTCGCTCTCAAACTTCAATTTGACTATTGAAAACTTATGTCATATTTAATTATATGCCTTTTACTAATATACTGCACAACCTGATGGTTAAAGTAACGATTGTCCCGCAGCAAAGTTCCCCCGCTAGAAAAAAAATTAATTTCTGTAGTTGTATTTTTTATACTTTTATTAATACACAAAACGCGCGTTTTTCACAAAAGCATAGCGAATAACTCTTTGAATTTTGAAACTGTTTTAGAATTTTCTGAAGATTTTGTTAGCACAGGTTAGGTCAAAACTATACCGCAATAACAAGAAGCCTACGCTAATTAACCCATCCCAGCCTAACCAACTCTCATGGAAATATAGTTTTGATCAAAAGACAACGAACAAAATTAAGCCTCTGCTATCAGGAGGGCATTATTAACAATGAGTTATATTTTTGCTATCATGTACATTGATTCAGTATTGATGTAGTAGGGATTTGATTAGTGTTTTAAGTATCGATCTACGAACAAGCGCTTCGGAATTTGGCCCAATCGTGTTGATGGGGTGTTTCGCAGATCGTGAATAAAAGTTTCAGCCTGAGAAATTATTTGTTTTCCCTGCAATACAAATCGTCTGCGAAAGACAGGAACTGACAAGATAATCATTTCTTCTTCTTCATCCACGTTGCAATTTTCTCAAATTTAATCTTTTCAAAATTTTCAGCCACGACTTTTTTATTTCTAAATTTACTTCTCTGAAATCCTGGTACAGCGAAACTATTTTCCTATACAATTGGAAAATTATCGATTCTCTTTAGCATAAAATGGCGAAGTTTAATTAACTAGCTCTCACTCTTTGGGTTTGAGCCGCTAAATTGAAATATTTATAGAACATAATTCAGGAAATGTAACAATTTTTCGCTGAAAACCTATACACTATAATGATTACACGTTATCAGGTCATGCTATTTATCACGAGACTTTATAATTTAATCTTCTTTGATGTACTTGATTGACAATTGAGATTTTTGTGTATAATGAATTCACACTGCGAAATAGCCGACCGAACTGTAGTTACTGAACAATGTTGTATTTAGCAACACTTCCAAAGAAGTAAAAATTCTCACTTTTCTTTATTATTCTAATTATAGTCAGAGGTAATTGGATATAATAATGATAGAAGTCTCATTTTCTAAAATGAGACCTACTACTATGCAAAAATCAATTGCATATTATCGAAAAAGAATACTTTGAAACGAATATTTTTGGGAAATTAATTACTCTATTAAATAATCGGTCAAAGTATGCAGACTTCGGTGCGAAAATGAATCGTAAAAATAAACATCTAATCATATGTCCTGAAGATTTATAACGAAGCTTTTTTATTATTATCGGAATTAAAAAGTTCTAATGTGCCAAGAGACATGTAGCATTTTCAAGTATGGTTGCCTCCCTAATCAGAAAAAATTCTTGCACCATGGTTCATAACAAGATAAAACACGATTACAATTCCAATAAACGAAATGAAAATCGTGAACTCCGCGAACCGCCGGCTGGATTTCAGAAATGGCAAGGCATGTGTATTTTCAGAAAACATTATTCAGTTACTAAATATCCTGGAATAAGCAATACTTTCGCGACAATAGTCTGCGATGGTGAAATTAATAAAACCCGGTTTATATGAATTGAAGAGCAAAGTTAGTCCGAGCATGAAGAACCGTTTGTCCGCTCATTCCATTCATCTATACGGCCATTGTGTTGAGCGTAGCAATGGGAACGAATTTAGTCTCCTGTGCTTATTGATCTTGAGTTCGTCTTGTCACCGAGCTTGTTAAAGCAAAGTGACACGTAAGACTTTCTACTTACTCCATTATGTCGTCCCGCGGTGGTGCAAGAAAGCGTTTAAAAAATAGGAGTAAATCACAAAGAGCAAATTTATTGTTTCCTGTCAGCAGATTGCATCGTTACTTGAAGAAAAGCACACATAAATTAAGAATCGGAGTTGGGGCCCCTATTTATGCTGCTGCTGTGATTGAATATCTTACAGGTAGGATATGAATACATTTTTATTTCTAAGGATTTGTTAGATGAATACCCTTAAGGGCCTTAACCATGATTAGAGTGGTGAATTTAAAAGGTTCCTTTTCCTTTAGCTTTAGGAATTCCTTTATTTTCAATTTTTTCATCAGTGCTGCAAAGTGCAACCTGCAAGCTGCAGTGCATTCTAACTTCAATGACAAGTTTATTTCATGAACTTGTGTTAGTAACACAAATTATTTAATTTTTATTTTAAAATGCGCAACTGCAATGCATCTCTTGACAACTCAAATCTCTTTTTCAATGAAAACAAAAGATTTGCCAAATTCTAATACTAGGGCATAGTGACAAACCAGAGATTTTTTAGAATCAGTTCATTTTTAACTTAGGGTAAACGCGGTATATTCCGACATCGTGACGGAATATAGGGATTTGGTAGGTTTCCATTCTAAAGGCTTTTTAATAAATATGGCAACATTTTGTGACGTTTCATCGTTGCTGACGCATAGTGGAGTGTTTTGAGAGTCATGTGAAGGCAACAGAACTTACGTAACGCATATGGTTTTTTTTAATAGTTTTTCATTTCTCGATGCTTCCTTAAAGTGTTAGAATATACCGCGTTTACCCTACTCATTTACCCAAGATTTAAACCAATTTCTTATGTATGATAAGGCTGGTATCTAGGATACTTTACTGGTCTACTTATGGGACTCAAAAATGAACTTGAGGGTGAGTCTAAAAAACTCCCTGCTTTGCCACTATGTACTAGGGTAAACGCGGTATATTTCGTCATAGTAGGTAATTCCGTCACCTCTTTAGTTTTTCCTATATGTTAAGCTTTGTTTTAGTTCCATGCGTTCGTTGATGGTTGAAATGGTGACGTCAGTCAACACCGTGACGCCAGTCTGGAAAAGTCCTATTTTTGTCTGAAATATCGCGGCTCTAATATCATATAATTTCAGTAGGTATGAAATCTCGCGGCTCGAATGTCATAAATTTTTGTTTGATTAAAAAATCTCGGTTTGCACTTTGCAAACATGTCATTTCATAAAATTTTCAACTTCCGCAATCCGCATTGCTTTACCGTTTCCGCCAAAAATATCTTGCAGAAAAAACATAAACATCGTAATGTAAACAAATAAACAAAACGTTTGTTGAAGATCGCGCATAGTTGCGGTCATGTCGAAGCGGTCAGACTGTATATTAACACGTGCTGAACTTACAGTAGAGACAAATTTTATTGTTGCCGTTTGACTGTTTAAGGGTAAAATTAGAGATTTGGGGTAACACGTGCATAAACTTTGTTAAGAAATTTGCATTCGCACCTCGTAAATGGCTTTTCATGGCCGAGATATGGAATTCACGGCTCGGTGAAATAGAATCACGGCTCGTAGAAATGGAATCACGGCTGGCAAATCCATAAAACCACGGCTCAAAAAATTCAGTCGCGGCTCGCCAAGTAGATATATTCCATACTAGCCGTGACGTCATACATTTGCGCGTCAAACCAATGCCAAAAACACTAGGTCTTGGCCATCTAGTGGGAAAATATTGAGATCCAAAGAGAGACGATACACGCTACCCAGTGAGATCATCGAAAAATGTGTCAAATTTGACAGTTGACCTTGCTCTACCAAATAGTGAATGACTGTTTGTATAGGAAGAATATTATGGTTTGAGACTTTTAAATATGTCTGTGAATATATTAGGAAGCCTTTAAGTATACTTGTATAGTTGTATTCGCTGATTTCAAGTGGTAAATAAATTAATAGATGATTAAGTTGAGAAATGGATTTAGACACATGAAAACTAATTCCGTCACAACTTTAATTGGACACACGTCACACAGATCGTTCCAAGCTGTGTACAAAAATTAAAATTTGCTTAATTAAAAACTTAATAGTTGTTAATTAAAAGCGTAATTAAGTAGTGTTCAATATTCATTAGTGTTCTAATTCAAAGCCGTGTTGTATTCCAATACAGCTCACACAGCAAACGGAATTCGAACACGTAGTGACGGCATTAGGTATCAGTAGAATTTGAAGCGCGGACGTAATACGCCTCACCACGTGCTGAATATTGCCACACACAGTGACGGAATATAGGGATTTGGTAGGTTTCCATTCTAAATGCTTTTAAATAAATATGGCAACATTTCAGTGTGGAATTCTAGAGGGATATTAAATTAACCAATACACATAGCATATTGGAAAGCAGGACCTGAAAGCTTGGAAAGGCCAGGAACTTTCCACTTTCAGTCCATCATATCATATACATAACCTATCACTTTCCAGCTGTGATTGGTTGATGGGATTGTGATTTAGCCCCTTCCAGCTTTCCAGCTGTGATTGGTTAATGGAATTGTAAGGTTATCTGCTTTCTAGCTTTGATTGGTTGATGGGGATGCTTTCAAGCTGTGATTGGTTGATGGAGATGCTTTCAAGCTGTGATTGGTTGTGCCCATAAGCCCCGCCCCCAAATATGATATATGTCTACAGTACTGGTTAACTAAATAGGTACTCAACTTGAACTTGATCATTACAAAGAAAAAGCCTGGATAATTTTCAAAAAATCCATCAAATAAAAGAAAAATAGAAAATATCTATCAAACAATTTTACAACAAATCTGAGGTACGGTACTGTACAATTGAAAGTTGAAACAGTTTGTCCACTTTTGATCCTCCTTTTCATTTATAGTCAGTCACCTGGCACTTGGCAGAGCCCTGTATCTAAGGAAAGCATTCCACCTTGGGTGGAAAGCTTTTTTTTAAGTGAACTTCTATTTCTAGAATTCCACCCTGCAACATTTTGTAACGTTTCGTTGTTGCTGGCGCGTAGTATACGGTGTTTTGCGAGTCAAATAAAGCAAAAAGAACTTGAGTAACGCATACGGTTATTTTTTTATAGTTTTTCATTTCTCGATGCGTCCTTAATGTGACGGAATATACCGCGTTTACCCTATCTGCCATTTTCAAAGTCAGAAGTTGAAGTGAGATGATTCATGTCTAACGCTTGCTAAAACTGCATAAAGGAGCTGTAAAAGTTGAATGTTTCCAAAATTTTCAATTTTGAGCCCACAAAATTGAGTAAAATGCATCATTTTTAAAATTATTTGAACCTCAAATTATTTGGACCTCAATTTACCCGTATTTGAATCAAATACAGGTAAATTGAGGTAATTTTTGATAGACATTGAAATGCAGATATGTCACCTAGAAAACCCTGAGTTCAAAACTGGTCTAGTATTTTGCTAAAGCCAAAAATCTAAATCCTAAACTTGACATAGCTACATACTCAACCCAACTATAAATATATTTGACCTGCATTGAGATTTAAATGAAGATTTTGAAATATAACACTTTTTAGCGTATTCTCTCATTTATGGAAAAAATTCACTCTTGTTCTTGCCATGTCCGTCTGTCTGTCTGTCCCTCCGTGACCATGTTTTTGTTGACAAGAAAATGCGCTCTCTGTCACTCACTGCAGTGAGTACCAAATTATATTTTTTTTTTGTGTCCAAATATAATTTTTTTTGTATTTTTGCATGATTTCTCTAATGTTTGTTTGAACTTTCAAGTGATTGTCATAGGTATGACATTGAAGGAGTTATTATGACTTTCTCAAATTATTATACCTTTTCTTTCAATTTTTCAAACCTTAATTTTTAGATCAGAATGCTGGCCTACATGGGTCAAAAGTAATATATGAACTAGCCCTATAAGTTTTAGAATTCCATCCTGTTGGCAGGGTTGTGATGTTATCCTATCCAGACTGTGATTGTTTGTGCAATGGCCTTTCCAATATGCTCATGTGTTTTGGTTAATTTAACACCCACTTGAATTCCACACTGGGTAAAACACATGTACAATTAAGCTGCAAGATTCCCAGGTTATCAAGATATGTCACTTTCAAGTTGCTAAATTTCTGTATCAAGGCAAATCTTAAAATATCCAAACTTGTGGCTATGGTATGCCTATTCTAGCCCTGGTCTTGAGGCAGATAAAAGCTCATCCTTTTTCACTAAAATTTGTCGCATATTTAAAGTCTAATACAAAATTTCCTAGCACCAAATCTACTCATTTCCATTATTTGTGATTTTTTATGGAAATGTTTCTTTTTCACATATTGTCAAATGGGGTAATGAGGGATGGTTTTGAGCATTTTTTGTTAACTTCTAATCATGAAAGATTTCATAAACAAGTTTTGGCTCATTTTATAGCTCTTTGCAAGAACTATTGTATGGCTTCTTCTAAAAATTTCATATGCTATTTGTAAGGTGCCAGAAGCAAAATAAAATTGTGCCAAATTACCCCTGGGAATGGAGTAATTTGGAACACTTAAAAGTTAAAATAAAACTTACTTATAAAATAAAATGTTTTAAGCCTGTGATGCATACTCATCCTTCACTAAGAGTGCTCTGAAGACCTCTTCTTCCTTTGTAGTAGATGTAGATTAAATGATATTTTCTGTGATATATACTTGTTTGTCCTTTATGACATGATATTACCATATCCATGCACATGCCATTGAGCATTTACAACAACTTTGTCCACTGCAAGCTTCATATCAGCAGCCACATAGCATTTCTTCTGTATCTGTAAGCTTACAGGACGGCTTGTAATTTCACACCATTTTAATTGGGTCAAGTGAATTTACTATAATGAAAAACAGATCATAAAAAACATACTGTAAACTGGGGTAACTTTGACCACTTTTTTTCAAAATGATGCCATTTTTTTACTAGATAAGTTGAACAAAAATTGAAACATGCGAAATACAGGTCTATACTCTAGCTTTACTTGCCATAAATTGCTGGCTCCTGCCTCTCATAGTTTTGATGTAGGTACGTTAATTTAAAAAAAAGTGATGGTCTTTGTTACTTTGTTGTTCTTGGGGTTTCTTTGACCGGGTGGTAAAATCAATTTTATTTTTTGGTAAAATAACTCCAAATAACTCCATGCATTGTAGTAGAATCTTTTAGTTACATATGCAAAAAAAAATTTTAGGAAAGTGTCATAGTTTGCAAATGGGGGCGCCGCCCCAAAATGGGCAAAATGTGACCATCTAATGGCAGCCGTGACAGGGTAACATTGACCGGTTTGGAAATTAAGTTAAAATTACCATATATAAGACTCTGTAGAGTCTGAAACACGGTTTGGAAATTAAGTTAAAATTACCATATATAAGACTCTGTAGAGTCTGAAACATGAAGAAAAAAAACATTAATAGGTGTATCAAACATAAAATATGTTATATAGATACCTATGGTGATTTTAACTTAATTTCCAAGCCGGTCAATGTTACCCCATCATGGCTGCCATTAGGTGGTCAAAGTTACCCCATCACGGCTGCCATTAGGTGGTCAAAGTTACCCCATTGTGGGGGGGCCCCCCATTTGCAAACTATGACACTTTCCTAAAATTTGTCTTTTGCATATGTAACTAGAAGAGTTCTACTACAATGCATCAAAACCTGGAGTTATTTTACCAAAAAATAAAAAAAATTGGAGGGGGTACTCCGACAGGCTTTAAATAATACCGGGTAGCTCTTTTTTGTGGGTCACATTTTTAATTTTTTAACCTATTAGATATGCAAACTTTTTAAATCTATCTATTGTGTTATGTAGCCTCAGTATTAGGCCTTTAATGCCCATTGACAAAATTTTTCTATGTAAAATAGTTTTTGAGTTTTGGGGGTTTTTGTTAAAAAAACCAAAAGTGGTCAAAGTTACCCCGGGAGTCAAAGTTACGCCAGTTTACGGTACATGAAACAGAAAGGAATATTCTAGTGACAACCATCATATTTTTTATAGAAATAAATCATAGTTTAGGTTAATTACTTTCATTCTATGTTGCCCAGTGCTCAATTCTATCTATGACATTCTCTGCACAATTTTGTGAAGACCGATGATGCATTAATTTTTTGTGAAGTTAAATTTTTTTTCTGAAAAAATGAAAATTAAGCATTGGGAGACGTGTGGTTCCAGCAGGATGGGGCTACAGCTCACACAGCCCGAATGTCACTCAATGTTTTGAAACGCATGTTTCTCGGATGTCTGGTGTCTCTGAGGGGTGATTTACAGTGGCCTACTAGGTCACCCGATTTGAGCATTTGTGATTTCTTTCTTTGGGGACATCTAAAAGAAAGGGGTTCAGAAGTTGCCCTCACACCCTACCACAGCTAAGGGAATGGATTATTGCAGCAGAGGTTATGTGAACGCCATATGTGTGAACGTGCTGTAGAAAACTTCCGAAAACAACTCCCAACAGTGTGATGCAGCTAACAAACCCCATCTTCCTGATATTTTTTTTCAAAACATAAGTATTTTAAATGGTATGTTTTGCTAATCTTGAGGAAAATAAACTTTCTCCTTTATGTACCTCCATTACTCTTATTTTGCCTTAAAACTGTTCAATCAGTTCTGCCCCACCCTGTATAAGCTAGCTAACACATTTAAATTGTATATTGTAATCAATGTATAACAAATACCGTAAAATGGGGTAACTTAGACCACTTTTTTTATAAATGATGCCATTTTTTTACTAGCTAAATTAAACTTGAATTGAAACATGCAAAATACAGGTCTATACTCTACCTTCACTCACCATAAATTGCTGGCTCCTGTCTCTCATAGTCTTTATGTAATTTCAAAAAAAGTGATGGTCTTTGTTACCCCAGCTCTTGGGGTAACTTAGACCGGGTGATAAAGTCAATTATATTTTTTGGTAAAATAACTCCAAATAACTCCAGGTTTTGGTGCATTGTAGTAGAACTCTTCTAGTTACATATGTAACTTCCAAGCCGGTCTATGTTACCCCGTCAGGGCTGACATTAGGTGGTCTAAGTTACCCCATTTGGGGGCAGCGCCCCCCATTTGCAAACTATGACACTTTCCTAAAATTTGTCATTTGCATATGTAACTAGAAGATTTCAACTACAATGCATCAAAACCTGGAGTTATTTAACCAAAAAGTGCAAAAATTGGAGGGGGTACTCTGACAGGCTTTAAATAATAGCTTTTGTTTGTGGGTCACATTTTTAATTTTTTAACCTATTAGATATGCAAACTTTTTAAATCTTTCTATTGTGTTATGTAGCCTCAGTATTAGGCCTTTAATGCCCATCAACAAAATTTTTCTATGTCAAATAGTTTTTGAGTTGTGGGGGTTTTTGTTAAAAAAAACAAAAAGTTGTCTAAGTTACCCTGCCGGTCTAAGTTACCCCATTTTACGGTAGTCAAATAATTAAAGAAAACTTATAGCCTTATAAGAATTAGCTAAGCTGCTAGCTACATACAATGTATTGCAATACTTGATGCCTCTGTAGGTACCAAAAACATTCAATTTATTGGAACCTAATACACACTAAAGGCAACAAGTTTATATACCAATTTGTCTTTCATAGTACATTTATACTAAACCATGAATAACAATACCTCAATATAAATTAAAGACTACCACTCAGTATATTTAAATATATGAAAAAATCAAAAAAATTGAAAAAGTAAAAAAAAAAATCATGATTTTTTATAAAAAATTAAGGGATTTAATCACATGATTTAATCATTTTGATTTAATCATTGCCAACCCTGCCTTTTAGACAATTTGAAAGATTTTTCACCCTAATATGAGTAGTACCGGTATCCTAATTAAAATATTTAATTTCAATCTTTAAATATGTGAATTTAAAACTAGAAACATAACAATTACAATTATAAAACTATATATAAAATAATTAAATGCAGTGAATCGAAATAAAATGTGTGAATTATGCAAATGTTTATTTCGAACAATGTTAGCTTTTCTCTTAACTTAATTCTCGTTTCAAGTCATTTGTAGTTTATTTGGTTATTGCTCAGTTTATGTTTAGTATTGGTTTGAATTAAATGGGAACAGTGCAGTCAGTCACTCAGTCACTACTAGTTGGTGTGTTTAGAGTGTAGAGTCTGGTAGATTTATAGGACATGAAACTAGTAGATCTATTGATAGTGCTGTGCACTGTGCTATCAGCTACCTATCTCAGTATTTGTTGTGTGACTCTTCAATGTTTAGAAGATCTACATTCCTGAAGTGTTTTTGTATATTAGAGCCAGTTAAATGGTCAATGTTTAGCTTGTTACCTTGCTCCATAAAAACTTTACAAAGCTAATGAATAGACTTATCAATAATTGTTTACCCAAAAATCCCAAGGTGGTAAACACCACCTTGGCCATTATATTGAAGGCAATAAGTGCCCTTTTTAGCCACCCATTATGATCCACATACTGTTATTGTTAGTAGGCTAATTGCAACATAAAAAATAACCTTTCAAAAAGATGAAAAAACTGAAAAAATCAAATAAATCAAAAAAATTTTTAAAAAATGAAAAAAATCATTGATTTTTGATTTGAAAAAAAATAAAAAAAATCACCAACCTTGCTTCATATGATATGGGTTAATCAAAATGCAGGTTTAAAAAGTAATTTTTATCATAAACCTGCAATTTGATCAACCAAGGCATTGGTAGAATATTTTTCGATCCTAAAAATATAAATCAACGAATTCTCTTGTCATTAACCACCCATGTTTAAACAAGCTTATTCTGCCATATAATAGCAATTTTTGTATGCACATACTCCTTATATCCTCATTCATATTAGGAATATAGTCCCTCTGGCCAATTTTTGCTTAGGTTTTCATTCATTCCATATGTATAATGATGCAAGTACATCACGTCTAAGCTTTACCAATATGTCTAGTAAGCTGTCCCTGTATTGAGAAAAATTATACCTGTTTCTTTTGAGATCAAAGTCACTAAACTTGCTAGAATTACTAGCAAGTTTAACTTGCAAGTAATTCTGCTAGTCTAAAACTGACTGCTAGTCAGTTTTAGACTGCAAGTTGACTGCTAGTTGACTGCTAGTCACTAAACTTGCAAGGTATGTACAGTATATTCATGTTTAACTCGCTATAATTCCTGAAAATCTCCCTGTTAATTATCAGTCTTGTCATTCCTTCTTCCTTGGCCATCATTAGTAAATATGGAGAAAAAAGTTTTCAATCATTTATCTTGCTAATTTATTAACTCCTATTTTGTTACAGCTGAGGTGCTCGAGTTGGCCGGCAATGCTGCCAGAGACAACAAGAAGTCACGCATCACTCCTCGCCATATATTGCTGGCCATTGCTAATGATGAGGAACTTCACACTGTGTGTGATTGATGGGTATTATTGAATCCTTTTAGGAACAAGTTAGGTTTTTTTGTAAATACTTGACTCATCCATAAATTCAATATTGAAGTATTAAGTTTTATAAATGCTTGGCAGCTTGCTTAATTCCATACAGAATTTAAAGCACTGCTGCATGTAAGCAAATTATGATGACAAATTTTCATTACATGCTCTATTGTTAGTCTGCTTTATTGTTCATTTTGTTATTAGATTCTGTGCCACAAATTTGAAAAATAAACGCATCTCAATTGAAATCTCTTCTTGAAATATTATTTGCTAGTACAATTAAAGTTGATTTTCAATACCATGGGATAGTGGTAATGATACCAGAATTATGTCTAGTAATATTTTCATTGCATCATTCTAACCGGAAGTTTATCAATCCTAGAGCCCCCTTTTTGCTTAATGTGTAGTGTGTATTGTGTTGACATTTTACAGTTGTTGCGCAAAGTCACCATAGCCTCTGGAGGTGTATTGCCCAAAATTCATCCCGAGCTCCTAGCAAAGAAGCGAGGGGGGAAGCTCATCACAGGAAGTAATGGACCCCTCACAGTCCCTTACAAGAAGGCCATTGCTACCAAACCCGTCACTCACAAAAAAGTGAGCGCAAAATTTTCTATATTGTGAATAAATATTCAAAAATCAGGTGATGTTGATTTGACCAGCTGGGAAAATTTTCCGATCTATATTATTTTGTACATTTCCCCTGTTTTAATCTTGCATTTCTTCATTACTTCTGTATTTTGGTCATCCATTTTTTGTGGAGAAAATTATTTTTTGAGTTAATTGTAAGAGTAATTCTTTGCATGGCCAAAGAATGGAATAAGTCTAATTTTTTACTTTTATTTCATGCCGGAAAATGTTGATGTTGTAAAGGAAACATTGTAGAAAATATCTAAATATTTGTATGTTGTTAACAATAAGAGAAATTTGTGATAGAGCTGCTTTTTCCATGTCTAGGTGAGTCCAGGAAAAGTTGGTCCACCAGGCACAGATGCCAGCGACTCTGCACCCGTTGCATCTGTCAAAGCTGCAGGTTGGGCTTCATATAACAAATGATATAGTGCCTCTACTTTAGATTATCAGTGCCTCACCTATCAATAAGTATGCAGGGACATACGGTATTCTAAATGGGTGAAGTGAATGAACAAATATATAAATGTTTGTTGTAGCTAAAAAAGTTGCAAAACGTATTTGTTATTATATTCATAGGAATTTGCTGCAAGTCTATGTTTTAATAACATGTATGTAATTTTAGGTATTATATTTTGTATATGACGAGAACAAAAACTTCAATATCATCTTAAGTTTTTTGTACTTTATCTGCCTTTTCATGACCATCTCAGATCATGGCAGTACTACCTACAATATAACTCAATTCTTCTTGAAGCATTAGCTGTTCACTAAAACTTCACCTTTTTACTCATCCGGTCCAACCTTTGCAGGCACGTCAATCGCCAAATTGCGACGAGGCAAAGATGCCAGTGCTACCAGCTCATCAGTCTCTGCGCCCACCGCCCCCAACTCCTTCTCTGTGTTGTCTGAGAAGAAGCTTTTCCTTGGCCAAAAGGTGTCTCTATATTTAGATATTTATTTATACAGATGGGACACTGGAGGCATTCAGCGGATGACATTCATTAATCTGAATAGTATGTGCCATATCAGCTATAGATTTCCTTCTCAAAAAATCACTCAATTGGCGAGCATAATTCTCATGAAAGGAAAATGTAGGCCAGGAAGATGTTTTCTGAAGATTGGAAAGGGGAAAATTAAATAATTAATATTACGTATATAAGTTATCCAAGTCATACCTCACCTCATCTGATTAGCCCTATGACTAGGATTTCCCCTACGCAATAATTTCAGTTCCATTTTCATCAGGGTTGGCGATTTTTTTGATTTTTTAAAAAAATCAAAAAAATAAAAAATCAATGATTTTTTTTTATTTTTTCATAATTTTTTTTATTTATTTGATTTTTTTGATTTTTTCAACTTTTTTGTCTTTTTGAAGTGTTATTTTTTATGTTGCAATTAGCCTACTAACAATANTAGCCTTATAAGAATTAGCTAAGCTGCTAGCTACGTACAATGTATTGCACACTTGATGCCTCTGTACCAAAAACATTCAATTTATTGGAACCTAATACTGGTACACACTAAAGGCAACAAGTTTATATACCAATTTGTCATTTATAGTACATTTATACTAAACCATGAATAACAATACCTCAATATAAATTAAAGACTGCCACTCAATATATTTAATTATATGAAAAAATAAAAAAAAATCGAAAAAATAAAAAAAATCATGATTTTTTTATAAAAAAATCAAGTGATTTAATCACATGATTTAATCATTTTGATTTAATCATTGCCAACCCTGATTTTCATATTATCATCCACAACCTATGTCCCCATATTGCATTTTAATAAAAACTGATAAAATGTATCAATGGCACTGAGTTAGATTAATCAGATATTGGTGTCAGCCTTCATTAGGCCGTTAGACTTGTTGCCTATTCTTAACCATGGTGAATCATTTGTATCCATACCATGGCACGCACTAGAATTACCCATTGTTGCACAGCTGACAGTGGTACAGGCAGACATCGCCTCAGTGTCAGCTGATGCCGTCGTCAACCCAACCAACTCTTCGTTCTCGCTGGTCGGCGAGTGTGGCCGAGCGCTTGAGAAAAAAGGAGGCAAGGAATTCGCCAAAAACGTGGCTGACATCAGCGCCAGTCATGGACAACTCGCCCAGTCAGATGGTGAGGCTCATAGATCATCCATGATAGTTTTAATTCTTAATTAAAATATTTTAATCTAATTTTTTTGGATTTAATGTTGGAACTTTGGTCCTGCGAAGCTTATGGTAGGGGTTCATATTTTATGAATGAAGTGCCTTCCTTTTAATAAACTGTAATAATTTCTCCTTGGCTTCATCTCTTGTGTTCTCGGATGATAACTGCTGCCACTGATGTTGAGGTCATTTTCTTTCTGAAAATTTAATGGCTCCTTGCTTTGTTCTATCTCATAAAATTTTTCGCTTTCATTGACATTAGTATTCTATCGCCGTTTTTACGTCTCCCAACTACTGTGTTTTCCTCTAATATATTGAATTGGTATGAACAGAGTTGCTTTCCAGTGGCCATATATTCTGGATGGTGGAGCTTACCAGCCAAATTCATGTTACATCACAGGTTTAGATACATCTTTCAATGTACGTATCTAAATACCTCCCTCGCGTTTTTTATATAACCGGTTTTTTATGCATATTTTAATGTACGTTTTCTCCCAAAACTTAATTGTAAGATATGTTTTCCGGTTGCCAGCCATATGTCCTGCGAGTGCGAGCTTACCAGCCAAGTCTGACTGTGCTTTATCACAGGTTTTACATATTCTATTACATAAAATAGCAAGATATTATAGTACATTTTATAGCAATCAACACATTTTCCAGTTGCCATTTGTCCTGGAGGTTCGAGTTTACCAGCCAAGTTCGTTATCCACGTGAACGGTCCGACCAGTTCGGACACCGACGCGTATGGGCGGCTGGAGCGCTGCGTCAAGAACTGCTTCGTCCTCGCGGAGTCCCACAATCTCAAGTCCATCGCGCTCCCTTCCATTGGCAGTGGCCGGTAGTGACCGTGCTGCCTATTTTGATCTGCTAGGGCTGAATATTTATTGTTACGATGCCGGCATCTGGTTAAGCTAATATATATTTGAAGCAGAACTTTATAGGCAGTGCCCAGTATTTAATCTTCATCTGCCAAGGGCTAAATATTAGTTGTTGCTTGACATATGGTTGAGTTATTACGCATTTTAGACGAAATTTTATGTGCAGTGTCCTGTACTAAATGGTGTTGTGGCCTTCCAATTTGGGTCTTTCCTATTGACTGAACATTGATCATAGCGAGACCTATGATTAAATCTTATTTCTAATTTAAGCCAAATTTCTCGTGCAGCTGTTGCTATTGGAGGAGCAAGCTATTCTAACCTTTATCTGTTATAGGTTGTTTTTAAGAGACTTGGGAGAATTAATTGAAAGGTTCAATATCAAATAATACGAAGATTATGCAAAAAAACCTGGAGCCTAACTTGAATAAAAATAACTACAATGGACTGAAATTAAAATTAAAACGAAATAGGGTATTCCTTGAGACAAAGAATTCAAGACAACTCTTTTAAAAACCAGTAGTGAATTTTTTTTTAATTTTATAAATTGATCTTATAAAATGTTGAAGCAGTAAGTTGGTCTCTTGCAAAGCTGCATCTTTAGCGTACGAGATTAATTAGTTGGAACAGCGGTGCTGTGTGTGTCCGCTCTGCAGAATTTACTTCGGTAAAATGAAAACAAAGCAAAAACACAGTTTTCTTCTTACGAGATGCAAGTGATGTTAACTAGTATTGACTGTCTGGATATTCAAATCAGAGTGTGCTTAACTTATGGAGTTTATTCTTATTCAAAGAATTATTTTTCAGAATATTTTACTACAGAATCTAATGATGAAATTTATGTGGCAGTGCTGGGTTCCCGAAGCAGGCGGCTGCGCAGACCATCATCAAGAGCATTCACCAGTATTTCGTGAGCTCCATGTCGTCATCACTGAAGCAAGTCTACTTTGTTCTCTACGACATGGAGAGCATAGGCGTCTACACGTCCGAGCTTGCCAAGCTTGATGCCTGAACAAATACAAAGTAAGTCTTGCGCTTCACCATGCATTCGTTACAGCAATTATTTAGATTTACAAGTATTCAAATGTTATGGATTTGTAATTATGATCCATAGTAGTTTCAGGGTAGAAACTACTACCTATGTCCCGAGTTGGCTTATCATTTAAATTTGATTAATTTTAGAGCATATGTCTTAGCTTTATGTTGATCTTTTTGCATTGAGTGGAGGGATGTAAACTACTCGTAAAATTTTTAAAGCAATGATGTATTTTAAGTAAGTTTTGCTTTTCATACATGCCCTGCTAACGGTATTGTGGTTTTGCAGAACACTGCCGTCTGATGAAGTACAACCTTCGCTGGATATGTTGCCCGACGTACTATCTTATAAGTGGACTGTCCAGTGTGTCGCCTAGCTTACGAGTGCACGTTTGTGTAGCTTTTCTAAGTGAGCAATTCATCTTACTGGTTTCCTTTTCAATTTCCGCCGGTTACAGCTACATGAAAAACTTCATGGCTACTTGAACAACTTTTGCCCAGTGACAAATGAATCTTCTGCAATTTCTTGTGCTATAACTCACTTTTTGTGAGTTATTCATGATTTCGGTCATTGCTAAGCTAAACCTCATTGCCAGTAGATTCATATGCAGTGTATATTATTCAGGTCTCGGGTGTGAGGATAGGTTGTGGTGACGACATTCCACGCACATCTCGTCTCTGTGTATCATATCATCTGAGCGCCTGACGTACCGTGACATCTCATAGGAATCTTTTTCTGTTTTTCTCCTTTTCTTCTGCTGTTGATCAGCTTCTTTGTCTACCGGAGATGCTAGCTCTACCTGATCAATGTGGGTGCACTGGCAATTGTGAGCCTCCAGCTAACTGATGATGAATAATGTACCTATCAGTCACAAATTTTTACTATCAAGATCTTGCGTTTTGTTGGCGGTGAACGATTGCCGGATGTTAGACTGCCTCGACACTACCATTAACTTTTTTCCACTCTATTATTGCTACAATTTCATGATATTGACAATGTTCTGTATTTTAAATTATATTTATTGGATATTGCCAGAGAGTCTATTTCATAGAACCATTTTTCACGGAGTGCGATAGAAGTTTAGTCCACGCAAGCTGTCATGCTGTTCGTAATATTATACTCTTACTTCTGCTCTCACACCTCGCTGCACTCGTTCGTTAATATTAAACTGTATTGAAGCTACCTAGCCTTTTGCGGTGCAATTGTTTTTTAAGAGTTAAGTCACACACCACGCATTTATCTGATTCAGTTGATGTTTAGGGACTAATTTAGCGTGCAACTTCACTCATCAAATAAGTGAGCATTAGTCAGCCATCTCCTTCTGAAGAGGTCCACGAATGATTGTTCGGTGACAAACTTCTAATTTGTTTGCAGTTATCCCCTATTATCCGTAATTAATTATAGATGTGATGATGCTGATGAGTAATAAATTCCCAGCTCTCTTTTGCAGTGTTTTATGTTTGGTATTATTTATGGTATCATAAACAGTTGAGAAAGTTAATTCATGAATAGCAGTGTATCGGATGTACTCTGACATCGTTCCTTGTAGTTATAAGCATTTGCATGAGTTTCATACTGTTTATACTAGTTACGGTATCATTGTTAATGTTCTTGATGAGTATAGTATTATGTTTTCCAAAAGGCATTTCTGAATGCCCCCGTGTTGGTCAGTTATTATATTCTGTTGAAGCTTTATGTTATTCTGCAAATAAGCGCTTTTGGATTAGTTTATAAGTCTTTTATCTACCTATTCGTTTTGGTAGAAATAAATCATGTGAAAACATTTTGTTTTGAGAAATATGGGAATAGTTTATTTCGTCGTATTTTATTCGTAAATCTTATTATTCTAGTCTCAGAAATGTGCTGTTTTGGCCAAATGAAGATTATTTTACATGTGCTATTAAAGATCTAACTTTAATTACAACAGTTTGTGAACTTTCGTTAGAATTTGCGGACATTTAAAAAACACTCATCCTGTGTCAGTTAATTGGCATTAATTTCCGTGAATTAAATGCCACCCATTGCCACTTCTAGTTTCCTAAAGAATTCATTCTTAAATTTTGGTTCGCGGACAAAGACTTCTCCGTTTATGATTTTCCAATGAAACCTATTTTAGTTCTGTGTTTTTTTTTTTTGTGGGCATGTTTGTTCGTGAAGACATGTGTTTTGAACTGTTTATTGTAATGTTCATTATAAGGATGTTTATGATTTAAGGAGCAGAGGCGCTGTTTAAGACGTCAGAGGTTGAAATGTTTTACATTAGTGATACGTATATGTGAAGAAATGAAGGTGGCATACTACATCATCAGTCATTTGTGATGTGCACAAGTTAAGATAATTTAAATGTTCTATGTTGCATGTGACGAGAAACTGTACGTTGAAGATGTTGTGAGTGGAATCCTTGTTGAGCACGAGTGAAGAAATTTAATCCAGTAATGAATGTTCAGAATTTTTTTACACATTTGCAGAAGCTTTTCCTTCATCTCATGGCATTCAAATTTCTGAAATGGAAGTGTAAAATTATATTTATCAGGTATTGTGGGCTCGCACATTTGCTACAAGTTCAATAAAACCTCGAGTGTTTCCTATTACCCGTCACCAATATTACTAATGGATGTAATAATATTTCACAATTTTTATTTTTAATCGCTTAGTTCGATTTTATCATTTCTTACAACACAGTAAAGCAATAGTTTTGATCATCGCCAACTCAACACCAACTTTAGTGTGCGCGAGTGGTTAAGATCAGCAAAATTTTAATTGCGATTTTTGCGCCATATGATAATATTTAATGCCTAGCAGAGATGTGCCCAATAATCATTGCAACTACTGACACGTACCTTATGTACCGGTATATCTTTATTAATGTTGAAAGTAGACATTATTTTGTATCCTCTCATTTCTACTACGGAAATGGTCCCTTTGAACTTTTTTTGCTACTCTACAATTTATGTGTACGGAAAAAAAGTTCCATTTACTGAACACATATTTTTAGCGAATTTGAAAGTTGGGAAATGCTTGCAATAAAAAGTCATCACAATACTTGTCTGATTTGCCCCCCGTTACTGACTTGGGAAGAGAATGAATATATAAATGACACTAATTTCTATACTTTTACCTTAATATTATTTTGTTTACAAACCAATCCTGCTAACTGGTCACGCCTTGCCGGATGTAATGCCGGCTATTTGAACAATTTTCTACGGAATCAGATGGCGGAAAAACTGCGCACGTTGCTGCACGCACTGTTCATCAACTTCAACATTACCATTTTATGACTTCAGCATCAACTTGAGAAAAATTGAAGCAATTGAACAAAATTTTGAAGCAAATCAGGAGATTAGAAACCGGTTCATTTTAATTTCCTGATCTAGTTCAAATTTTATTCTGCCTATGAATGATATTGCTGGCAACCATGATATTGTACTCGTGGGACTCGACAAGTCGCTGCTCTCGCACTATTGTCCAGAGTTCAGCGGGAACTTCGTCATTGTTCCGAGTGAAAACACTATATTTAACTATCTTTTCGTATTTTTAAATACTTTATTTTTATTTAATTTGGCGGTACACCGCGTCACTATGGTGCAGATCCACGTTGCTGATGCGTTATTGCATGCCATTACGACGAGTGTCACATGGCACGCCTACGTTCTATCACTACCGATAAATTATTTTAATTCAACGTAACTATTTACGGTTATTTTACTTACTTCTAATTTTTACATGTCAATTATTTAACGGTAACGAATACGTCTCATTAAATAATCCTTTAACGGCCGCACGAAGACTGAACATCTCGACGTACGTACGTTTGGAGAATTGGAGTGAAATTGTAACTGAATAAAGCCGCACGCACAGATAAATGAGCGAGACTTTGTCCCAATGGGCAATGGTGATGCCTTTTTTTTGCGCTTGTGTTGGTAATCCTAACCCTGTTTGGTCAGGCGGATACTTCCGCTCTATGGTTGTGCTGTGAGTAAGAAAGTGTTTCTAGTTTGACCATGTGACCCACTCACTTCTCTGAGTGCAGTTTTTCATTCAATTGCGTGGGAGATAAAAATGAACAGCACGCACGCTGCATGATGCGAGTCCAGTGACGCCTGATCTTGAATAAGATATCGTCTAATGAGGCAGCATTTCCGGTCGTAATTTATGCTCCATTGTTTCAGACCGCTATAAATAATGAGGGACTTCAGCGACAGCTCTATTGCGGAGTGTAGGTCTGGCCGAATCATATCACTCATTTTGATTGCGAAATAATAGTAATTATTATTATTAAAAATCAATGCACAGAGATTGTGTTATACAAAAATAATATTCTCTATAAATAAAATTAAATTTGTTGTAATTAATAAATTTGAAGATCAAATCAATTTGAAAGAGTAGAAGTTCTCTGGTCTTGTCATTATCGTAACGACAAATTTGAACAAATTTTATATTGAGAAACAATATTAATTGAATGTAATACAGTGCAATAATATATTGCACGGCGAATAGTATAAGTAATGCGAAGTAATTATTGATTCGGAAAGTTCTGAGTTATATCGCAAAAGAGTAGAAAATCGCGAGAGCAGAAAAGTTTCATGACATAACTTTGAATTGCACACTTTTTTCCCTTCTTAATACTCACTGATCAATAACCTCCTCAGTTTTTAATGCCAATATTTAATAACCGTGAATAATTCTATGGTAGAACCGTTGTAATCTAAAACCATAGCGTTTGAACTCTGCGTTGACATTATATTTCCATTCAGCAGATTTTTTTTTGAATCTTGACAGTTGATTACAAAAATAAATACCGATTGGACAGTCCTAAGCACGTGAGAAATTTCTAAGCAGGTAAGCTTTAATAATTTAAATCATTACCGTTAAAATTTGATTTATACCTAACACCAGCCAATAAAAAATTTTCTGATCAAGCGCTAATCATCGTTTACAAATTAAGAATTAAATCTAACGCAACTGAGGCCCTCTCTGTTTAAAACTAGCGGGTTGACGGCGTAACCCTGCTTTGGTAATTCCTCCCTTTTTGGAATCCCTTTATCCCAAATAATGTCATTCCCGTAATTCCTAATACACAGTTTAAAATAAAGAAGCCTATGTATTATACTTAAAAAGATATGTATTATATGTATTTATTGATATGTATTATATTATGTATTATAATTGAATAGCTTCCTTTTCAAACTCACATTTCATGTAAAAGGTAGGACTCCCGTCTTCTTTCGTTTCATAAATCGGACAAAAGTATTCCGCGTCGTTTACTTTGAATTTATAATTACCGATTTCGTAATCAAATTTCAATTTTTTGAAACAATCTTTTTCTATTCTATCACAATGTGTAACTTTAAGGTTCAGGTGATATCCCAAAACTAAAAGCATCGGGAATAAGCGTCCCCAACAGCCCCAATATCATTGCGGTGCCCCTGGCCTCAGCCACGCATACGAAAACTTGATAAATGTATGTAAGATAATAGATGTACTTATAACATTAGTCTGCGTGATCTACAAGTTCGCCAAAAATTAGAAGACCTAGAAAACGTCAAGTAAATTCACCATGTCTTCAATGGATTTTTGTTTACTTTTAAATTCTTTGATAGAAGTTGGATCAACCCGACCTAATTTTTTTCTGTAATCTAGACACAGAAATTCACTTTGAACCGTGGACGCGTGACGGTCTTCCGTGGCAATAATGGCACGCGTGTGGCATGCGAGTATTGGGCTCGTGGCGGCGAGCGCCATGATGGCAGCCGTGGCAGCCTCGTGGGTCAACACTAACGTCTTCGACAATTCCGAGTCTGATAAATGGGCATGTGAGTATTAAAACCTTAATTGTTTCATGTTTATTTTATGAATGTCTTATTGAACTCAATTTGAATAAATATTAAACAACTTTAAAATTTAAGTGTTATTCATTTTTGAATAACTATTTCGTAATGCTCTACAAAATTAACACCTGCGTGATGTAAAAAATTCTAAACCCACAATAAAAAAATTCATTAGAGTACATTTTATCGACCAGTGTTTGTCAGGTGACAATAGTGTTCCCTTGTACACTCAAAAAAATAAGACTCTTTCATTTGAGCAGCCGACATGTGCTCGACCAACACCACATGCAATGCGACAGCAAAGCGCTGCTTCTGGCAGCTGAGACAAGCGCAGGCTTTCGTCCAGTCGCTCGAACGGAACGAGTCTGATTCTCTGGTCGACCGATGCAACGACAGGCGCCAGAACTTCGACACGTGCGCCCTGGCAGCTAACTTGAACGTCACTTGGAGCTCTCTCAGTGAGTTGAGAACCGGCAGGAAGTTGTAAACCCTCAGAGTTGTAAACCGGCAGGAAGTTATGAAACCTCAGAGTTTTAAACCGGCAGGAAGTTGTGAACCCTCAGAGTTTTAAACCGGCAGGAAGTTGTGAAACCGCTGGACCCACAATTAGCTGGAAACCTCCGTGTGACGTGAACCCTCAGAGGGTTGAACCGGCAGTGAGTTGTGAACACTTTAAAAGTTGTGAATCCTCACAAGTTGAGGGCTCAGAAGCTCGTTCTTCAGCTAACAAAGAGGCCATTGAACCTGAGTTAGATGAAAGATAATAACCTTGTTCTTCAGCTTACTGAGACTTTATTGAATTTAATCCTTATTTTTGGTTGTCTGTATGTCTGTGACATTGAAAATGATAGCCGTTAATGTGAGCATTACTGAATGTTTATTTGAATATTGAAACTGAATGTTTATTTTGAATATTGAATATGCTTGTGCAGTGGTGGTATTCATGTCTTCAACAATCTTCCAAAATTTCATTAGAAACAAACTTTTATTTAAATAAGTTTATCAAAAAAATCTATTCTATAAATATTTTTTAATTTACTCGCTAATCACATAGATGGTTCAGCAGAGACCGGATGTTTATGCCTAGCATTAAAAAATTAAGTGAAATGGGCATTTAATCGATATTTCAAGTTATGTAAAAACAGTCCATCTTGATTGTGACGTATTTCTACAATTTTTTTTTCAGCTGGCTCGAATGTAACATGCGACTTATCTTTCCGTCATGGGCCGAGGTCATTTTTCCCTCCTCGTGGCCCGCGTCCTCGACGAACAGCCGAAAACGTTTCCCCCTTACAGAGTACCGATCTCAGTTTACCCTCTCTAGTGTCCTCGATCAGGTTTCGTCCTAAACGAGCACTCGAAGGTGTTTCCTACCCTCGCGATCTCGTGCCTGGTCTCTCTCTAGCGCCCTCCGTCTTCCGCCGCGCTCGAGACACACGTCACGGTCGACGTCCGGGACCCCGGGGCGGACCCAACGGCAAGCGATCTTGGGGAAGCGTCGCTGAGTTCCTCGAAAACCTGGAAACTGAAGACCCGGCCGCCCTGCAGAACTACACACTCTGCGTCCTGAAGGAGGAAGGACTGGTAAATATAAATGAAATGGTACACCCTCTTATGTGGGCAGATGTCAACTGCTGCAGATCATTGCCTACGATTATTTCTACTAAGATATTCTGAATAATAATCACATAATGCATATGTGTTGTGATAGTCAAACACTGGGATATCCATATCATTACAATTAACGCTTCGTATAGTAACCTTAAAGTGTAAATAAACTAATTTATTTATCTACTAATTATTAGTTAAATTTTAGGTCAACCTCTATTCAAGCCACGACTAAAATGACTTAACATACAAACTTTTTTACCAGTCTGTTTTTATCATGTACCTACTACGTTTCAGCTTACTTTTGACCGTTCATTGATTATTGCCAAAATGTTTTGTCAGGTTTTGCCAGACGGTCAAGTGAATCGCACGGCCTTCCAAACCTTGGCCACCGTGGCCTTCATCACCGAGCCTGTGGTGGCCACTGCTGTGAAGGACGCTATGGGCACCTGCGAGGCCGCGTCTGTCCCAAACGTAAGTAATTTTCAGTGCGTAATGAGTTTCTGTTGGAATTTCGATGAATTTTATTTGTCATGCGCGGCGGTTGCTGTCCCTAACGTAATTAGCTTTTGAGGAATTTAAAAACCAAGAAAATGGCGATCCAACCAATCATTTGATCCTTTAGTATGTAATATTGAGTGCGCAACGGAATTAATTGTATACGCAATTTGTTTCATTCGTCGACGTTTCATTAATATTGGAAATGTGAGGTAGGATGCATCTTTCGTAGAATGTAATTTAAGCGTATAATTATGTGTAAAGTGTAGGCAAAGGCATAGTGTATTAGTGGAAAATTGTGGTCGTAAATTTCGATTTTGGTTCATAAATTTACAGAAAATCAAATTAAATGAGGCAAGGCTGATAAAATTTACAAGTCACTAGTTTTTTCATAGAACTCTCAGCACGACGGAGATTATTCATATAATTGGGCCAAAATGTATATTAATTTATCACGAGTGAAACTATTCGAACTACTCAGTCTGCTCCTTCTGAAGTTTAATGCAAATTGTTAGTGGGTGATCAAAATCTGCTAGATCTTTTAATCAACAAAAACTTTGATCAAACAGAGTTCTTTGCAGAGTTGCATGTCGTTTCAATTTCAGAGTAAATTCTGTGATGGAGATTATCGTTTGTTATAATCGTGATTATCTTGATCTATGAGCAGCTCACCGATTACATGAAGTGCTGGGCCACGGCATGCGTCGGGGCGAAGATGCCGTGACCAACGAAGCGAGTTCCCCGGAGCAAATGCCGTTGAAACAACGTTGATTATGAATTGATTTCGTTGAAACACATGATTCAATCGACGTAATTTCAACGCCAAACGACTTTTAGGAAACCACTGCGGAGGAGGCTCTGTGGTTGACATCTGAAGAGCACCACTTCCATGTGGCGATATTAACCCGTTACCGGCTACTCAAACAATACATAGATTAATACATAGTATTTTCTCTAAATCACTTCAGAAATTTTCAGATCACTTCCATTTGATGTGCAAGCTTTAATTATTGATATCTATAGCAGTATAATCCGCAAAAATTATGCGATTTTCCCATCGTAATGCGACTCACTATTAAAAAAAAGAAATTTCTAATTATATTTTACATCAGATAATCTTATTATAAATTTGATAGAATAAATTTAAGTGACGTGTTGCTTTAACTTTTAGTAAACAAGTTCCCTGCAATTTAATCTTTTATTGCTAATCATGTTCACAGTATTCGCTCTGTTTACATTTGCTTCATTAGCCCCAAACTCCACAGTGAAATTTTATTTATAGAAGAAAGTGAAAAAATACATATTGCGGGACAGAGCAAGCAGATTGTACGAAGGCAGCAAAAAATTCTAAAGTTTCCTTCACTCGTATAGTCACTAGAATTCGCTTGATTAGGTGTGAACGTTGGGGCCTGCAGGCCTGCATACAAGAAAATACTGTTTCGTGCATGACTCTGACTAATACTAGGAACACACAATCATGCATCACACAAGCATTCATAATACAAGGTCACACAAGTATAGCAGCTGCGCGCCGAACACTTGCGTGGCAACTTGAGCGTCAGTGCAGCCAACAGCGCCGCGCTCAGTGCAGCGTTCAGTGCAGCGTTCAGTGCAGCGTTCAGTGAGAAGCGTTCAGTGAGAAGCGTTCAGTCAGAAGAGCTCAGTGTACTTCAGTAACGCTGAGTAGTTTTATGGCACCAAAGTAGTGAAATCAGATGTCGATAAGTGATAATAGGCTGAATTTAGATCACATTAACACTTAGCTAGTATCGGTAAGTCGCTTTCAGCGAATAAAAATACGTTAATGTTGCAAAAATAGCTAGAAATAAAAACGATTACGTCGTGACTGCTAAATAGATTACGAGCTAATATGAATATTTTGCAGTTGTATCAGTTTCAGCATGAATGATATTAATGTAATTCCAAACTATTAACCTTTTTCATTCTTTAGGTTATTATATGTCGATAATTTGTCCAGGGATAGCTCACGCCTAATCCTATTCAGAATAGTATGGATCCCGATGGAATTTACCACTGCCTAACACGCGGCATTGACGAGCTTAGCCACAACATCAGTTGTGTTCCCAGCGAACTGATCTTAACAGGATCGAACCCTGTGCCCATAAGCGCACTGGAGTCCGGCGAAGTTCTGATCGCAGCAGCCATCTACGGTAAAGGCAGGATTGTCGTCCTCTCACACGAAGGATACATCATCAGGGATGAGTTTCGATCATTTATACTCAATGCCTTAGTTTGGCTTCAATCATGCCATGGAAAGACTATAGGTATCAGCAAAAGCTTACATAGGCTCAAGAATATCCTAGATGATAAGGAATTCACAGTGACGCATTGCGATGATTTGGAAAACATAGACGTATTTTGTTGCGCATGTGAAGGAGATTTTCAAAAGAAAAAAGTGCTCCAGTTTGTGAAGAATGGTGGGGGACTTCTGATAGGCGGCCAAGCTTGGCATTGGGCGTCTCAGAACACGGACAAGAATGTCTTGGAAGAATTTCCAGGCAACCAAATCACAGCTCCTGCGGGAATTTATTTCTCCGGGCGCAGTGTTGGCTGTCGTGGGACTGTGAATGTTTCTGGAAGAAGGCCTTGCCATCAGCCCAGTCTCAGGTACTGGGCCAATGTTGCTTGAGATTATCTAGGACCAGTAGCAATGTATGGCTTGTAATGATGTGTAAAATAAATATGCTAAATCGAAAAAATGCAAGAAATAAATTAAATACATAAAGAAAATAAGATACCGGAACAATAAAGCTATCGATTCACAATTCCAAGATTATAACTATACGAATTATCAAGCCATGGTGTATTGACAGGTTTTAATGTTCCGGTTTCATTTTTTTATACCTAGGTTTTACTCTCTTTCGTGTAAATTCCTATTTTTTGTTCTGAATTAACTTACTGTATATTCCAAATACGTTAAATATATGCCATAGTAGTTAGTTGATCAGAAATTTCACTGGAGCAAACAAGATCTTGATCATTGCCCATCAACTAACAAATGAGTTCGCTGCAGCATTATTATTGCAGAATTATTAACACTCATTCATTCTCAGGCTTAATTTCCAAGAGGATGACGATTTGAAGATTTTACTGAGTGAACTAGACGGCCAGGATCTGGAGTGCGACTGGAATTCTGCTGTGTTGTTCTCATTCGACCAGAAGAATTTTCCCGTACCGGTCTCGTGTAAGAGGAGCGGCTTGGCTGTAGCTGGACGACTCGGGACTGGCCGATTCGTAGCTACTTCAAAAAGCACGATCTTCGAGACTAAGAACGGCCAAATCTTCCTTCAAAATATCCTCAAATGGCTTTTGAAGAGCGATGTTACAGGACCTATCGCTTTCGACGATGAAATGAACAGTTTGTCTAAAATACTGGATCCAAAGTTCGAATGCACGGAAGATGATCTGGATAATGTGCGAGTTTATTGCTGTAGCGCGATGACTCAACATCAGCCAGCTGCAATAGAAGCTTTTGTGGCGGAGGGAGGAGGTCTGCTCTGGTGCGGCAGTGACTGGCACATGTCAGACCTCGAGCTAATGAAGAAAAGTGTGTCGGAATTTCCAGGAAACAAAGTGTTGAATCCTCTTGGGGTGGGAATTCTGCCACCCACGATGAACGGAGATGTGTTCAACTCTGTTCGTTGCACGAGCGTTAATGAAATGCTATCTCAATTTATTTCTAACGAAAACGATTGTGATGTCGTAAGGCCTTACGAAAACCTTGTCAAAGATATCGCTGAAGCCTTGAAAATTAGAGATTATCCGAACCCAAGCTATGACATGTTGGTAACTACACTGAAAGATTTGGTTGTAGACAATGGCATCTTGGATCAAAATGAAAAAGAGTTTAAAAAGCCCAAAGAAAAGTTAGCTCTTGCTGTCGCGGCGGATCTTTATGACGCACTCACTGACAAAGCGACGTTACTTCCTCATCGTCAGAGTTTTGATCTTGAAAAGGAACTGTCGATCAAAATCGAGGCTGGCAATGCAGGTAAATACCTCTCAGCTTCAAAATTGTTGTAGCCTGACTGTCCTCATTACTATATATAATTATCTTTTAAAATAAATCATAAATTCAAAAAATTAACTCCACAAACAATAAGCCAATGTTAATTTACGAAACTCCTATTGAGATCATGACTTACGTAACTTAGTGATTTTGCGCAAGACACTTTTTTACACCTGTAAAGTTAATTTCGAGCTATACATTGGGAGTTTATTTTCGCTTGAAATAATCGCTTGGTGCGACGTAAACTAATCGTATACTTTTTTTTCAGCCGCGCAGTGTAGGTGGGAGAGCACAGGCTTCTACACCCCTCCTGCAACACCCATTACTATAGTTGTGCCACAGGAAATAGTAGACGGAAAGTGGCAGGTATTTAGCAGCATAAATAATTAGTGTCTTCATTCTGATTATCATCGTCTTTCGCTATAATCATCATTTATTGATATCTACTAATTTATTGCTACCACCATTTCCGAGAGAAAATACCAAATCGTTGTCAAACTATGTACGTATAGGCTACAAATCTTTTCACAGCAACCAAGCAGTGAAGGTCTTACAGAGTTTCTAGCCTTGTTTTTGAATTTGAAACTGTATATTTTAAGAACTTTTCATACGAATACCCTAATGGATTTAGTCTCGCAGTTGCTGATTGCGGGATATTCAGACCATAAATTTTAGATTTCTCATTACCGTTTGCTCCCAATATATTCATTGATATTTTCCATGATTAGTGTTTCTATTTATTTTCCATTTTTAATTTGTGGCTTGAAATAGTTTATTCGTAGTAAACAATCAGTTTTGCTTACGATAGCGCTTTTTTCTCATGAGTAAAATAAGGCAGTAGACAATACGAAAAAAGCCTTTTCGTATGCAAAACTGATTGTTTGCTACAAATAAAATATTTCAAGCCTTTATTAAAAATGGATAATGAATAGAAAACACGAAGCATTAAAAATATCAACAGTCATAAAGAATATCGTCGTAACAATAAATAAATAAATTTCCTACGGTGCTCGCAGGCAATATATTGCAACTAATAGGCTGGCTATTCAACTAGTTGTACTAGCACTATTAGATCAACTAGACAGATTTCAATGGCTGGCATTGCTCTACTGCTAATTTGTTCCGCTTCTTTATCCCACTGGTTATTCTAATTTCCAACGATATCCTGGTTCGCGCAGGTGCGAATATCTGATCAGTCGTATTATTTAATATCAACAAGACTATTATTTAATCATTATTACAATAAACGGTTTTTAGCATACAAAATAAGTAGAATTCAATGATATGCTGGCAGGTGCAGATTGGTTGTCAAACAGACAATCTATTTAATATATCCGAGCTAAGGAGAGCTCCCGTGGCGGTGCGACGTGTGCCAATAAAGCAACAGGTTCTCAAGATTGAATATCTGTGGGGCGGCCTCATCTACTTCATCGTGCCGGCGAATAGCAAACTTGGTCAACTTGAGGTTACATTTAAAAACGTCGTCAGAGCTCCCTACTTTGCACTGAAAGGTTGGGTTCATAGTCTTGTTTTATCGTGCGTTCCGTGGAATTATCTTTTATCATTTAATTTTATCTCGCATGCCGTGGCTGAATGGAACATATTAAAATAAAAAAATATCAAGTACATTTCAAAGTTTTGTAATCTCGATATAAAGCACTGGATGTGACCGTCAAGAACTGACCTTAGAAGCCAAAATCGAACAAAAGATTGCTTGAACTTTTAAGAAGATCATTTTTTTAAAAAACTGTAGATTTTTTTGACCCAGTGAATCATACTAGCTGCTTCTGTTAAACTAAGATACTTATCCGAACCATTTTCAATTGAAGTCAACAAAAAATACGCTTAAAAATTAAGTAAAGTAATTTTTCGCCTTGTTTATTAACTGATTTTTATTTATTGAAGGCAGTAACACGGTGCTCGAGTGGCAACAAGAAATACGGCACCACCCCGCACCTTGGGCCGAGCTTGCGGCCGACAACATCATCCTGACGCTCCCCTCCAGCTTCATCCGAGACCTGGACGACCCTCGCCCGGTGCTGCAACTCTGGAACGAAATAATGCGTCACGTCGCACGTCTCTCCGCCATTCCAGAGCAGTTCCCGAGACCTGAACGCATTGTTGCCGACGTCCAGATTTCGGCAGGTGATGCTCTGTTCATAAAATTGCATTTTCGGTCATTTTCTTTGTCCTTCCCTTTTAAATTATAATGAGATCCCTTTAATGATTGAATACATTATGATTTTACTGTGCTTATTGTTCGACGACATTTTTTATAAAGCCAACTTTAGCCTTGCTTAGATGAACAAAAAATAAAAAATTCTTACATATTTTGTCATTCCCGATGTCAGGAGGTTTTTTATTTTCCTCGCTCAATCTTCATCTCAAAATGTTTATGCACATCCATTTTCGGAGATTTATTCTTCATTTACAATCTGAATTCTACTCCACACTCGTCGTGTGGTATAGATACGAGTAATAGGCTTCTTCTTTTTCTTTATTATTTTACTTAAATTTTTCATTCAGTTTCGAAACAATTTGTTCCCTGCACAACGTTCCTTCCTTCTTGCTTCGATTGCACGTTATCATGTTTATCAAATGCAAACATAATTCTGTATGAGATTATTCTCAACGTGGGAGCCCAATAATTGCAAGCTTTAAACATATTATAACCGAAAACAAAACCCCTCAGGATCCATGCACTCTGGCTACCCCATTATGGTTCACGACACTTCAGCGAAAGAAATGGTGGATTTAGAGCGTATTTCTTCAGTTGGCTTGTGGGGCTTTATCCACGAGCTCGGCCACAACCAACAAAACTCCAAATGGGAGATCTGTCCTCACACCACCGAAGCGACTTGCAACCTCTGGTCAATTTACGTGCACGAGAAAGTCTTGAATGTTCCCTCACATCGAGCACACGGCTGCCTAGCGGCCGAAAAACGGCGCCAAAGAATCGAAGAACATGTCGGAAAGGGAGCAAGTTTGAGTACATGGCATGTGTGGACCTGCCTTGAAACTTACCTGCAGGTGCGTTTTCTGTAAAGCTTGTAACATTTACAACATGTAAAAGGCCTTGTAACATTTACCGGATTACATTGATTTACTATGGTTAATTCGAAAACGTTTATGCCTTGTTCTTGCCTGAGCATTTACCAACATGGCTACTACGTGAGTCTTTTATTCTCCCAATTTTTTGATATTCTGAGTGCTGGTTTAGTTAAAATTATATGTTCAGTTTTTTTGTGTAATTTGGTTAAATTGAACATTTTTTTTAATTGGATGCTTTGTCACGTATCCATGCATGTTTTAATTGCGTTTAATTACCTATTTGAGAATTACTAGCTCGCTTCCCAACACTATAGTGATAGAAATATTAATGATTGATGAAATTAAAACATCAGTGGTAGAAATTGCACAACTCTTCGTTAGTAACCGGAATTGCTCATTGATATATGAACCATATGCAAAATTTCATTGAAACTGTTTGCCGTTCTAATGCTGATATAAATATTATTATTATTATATTAGAATATAATGTGAAGCAGAGATCAAAATTATATAATAATCTTTCAAAACTTCATGCTATACTTCGGATCTTGTCGTGAATGACAGGTTTACCCTTTCAATAATGTTGGGAAGCTTAAATAAATTGAAATATTTTATGCCAGGCGTGGTTTACTCCTATCTGATTTATAACCTATTTATACATAGCATTTCCCTACGAAATCTGAATGTATTGCTAAGAAGTGCCTTTTTGAGCAGCTGCAAGAGGCCTTTGGTTGGGACGCCTTCATTGAGGTACACCGCCTCTACCACGGCATGGAGGAGACCGGGAGCTCAAATGAGTCCAAAATGAACACATACGCTCAAGTTTTCTCCAACCAAGTCAAGAAAAATTTAGCCCCATTTTTTGCGGCTTGGGGATGGCCCATCGAACAATCGATGGCTGAAAAGCTCTCTGTCTTGGAAGACTGGGTTGAGGATCCTATGAAACTATATCAGAAGCATGCCTAGTGTAAGTTCCGTAAAACTAATCGTAAATAATTTAGCTTTTATGCAATTGTAACGTTCCCTTGCGATTTTTGTGTAAATTATTTTTGATGGAGTTCGAAAATCCTAACAGGCTTCCTGGCTGAAAATTTATCATAAGTGTTCTATCATATAATAAGCTCATGATTAGCGCCAGATTCGTCCACTGCAGAGAATAGTTATATGTAAGACCAGCTTGAGCATGCTTTCATGTCATGCAGAGCATGCATGAAGACCATCTACAATCTGGAGGACCTAAGAACCACATGCGGGAGGCTCACAATGAGACCATCACCCGAGCGACATTGGAGGCCTGCACCAGCATAGTTATGCGGTGCCCTGACCCATCGAGACTGGCGATAGCTGAGGCCCTCATTATCAAGGACGAGTCTCCAGCTATCAACCTCGAAACTACAGGATTCTTCCGGACGCTGAATTAGTTTTCAGAGTAATTTTAAGCTTGGACTTCTAACTGTATCCACAATACCCTTGATTTGTACTCCTGTCATTTCCTAAAGTTCAATTTCAAGTCTTGCAAAACCTTCACCTGCTTGATAGCGAATATTGTATTTTCGAAACGTTGCAGTCTATTAAAATGTCCTTTGTTAACCTGCTTTTTAATCTTTCGGCTCCAGCAAAAAATTTTGTTCGACTCTTTGAAAGAACGAAGAAGAAGATTATTAATAATAAGCATGCTCTGGTCTTCAATCAAACTTGCATAAAAGAAAAGCTTCTGCTGAATTACACCAATTTTGCAGAGAAAAGATAGTGGCGGGGAGAAAAGCATGATTTATTTCTTGCTCGAGCCTATTTACAAAATTTAGCAGAATATTCTGTAATATCTGAACATTTAGGATATGATTAATTTATTGGACTATGATGGAGTAAAGAAGTAAGTCTGCAAATAAAGACTAAGAGAGTGTAGAACAATGATGATCATTTGAGGCATATATTTTAATATATAGATATTTAAGTTAATGATATACAAGTTTATATAGACCAATATATATTGGTGTCCTTGTAAGACACAAACATTTTGTGTTAGTGACGGATGTGAAGAGATGATGGTGGCATACACCATCATCGGTCATTTGTGACGTACACAAGTTAACACGTTAAGTAAGGCACGGCAAGACCCATCGGTGAGTTGCAGAGACTCTTTGTCTGGACAAATTCCGCTATTCATTTTTTTTAATTACATTAGACGGAAAAAATTTATGATGGTGCACTTCCATATTATAATTTAATAAGCACGAAAAATTTTAAATTTTAATTTTTACACCGGAACCTACAAATTTAATAGTAAACATTGAAATAATATTTTTGTCCGAGGTCTTGGCCGTTTTTAAGCCATTTGACAACCATGGTGGATCAAGCCACACTCAACGTGTGAAGATAAATTAAATGTTCTATGTTGCCCGTTATGAGAAACTGTTAGAAATAGTGACCCATGTGAAGTAATTCAAAACACAAATAAACCATTACAATTTTTGTTCTATAGTTTCTGAAGCTTTGGGTTTATCTTCGCCATTCAAATTCCCTAATAAGTAGCGTAGAATTGTAGTTATTTGGTATTTGGGGCTCTTTTTTGGCAGATTATAATTCAATTAAGTCGTGTAAAAATCAACGAAGAGTTTTTTAGATCCGGTGAAGTATTTTGCCTTAAATTATGATAGGGGATCATGTGTTGTCAAAGCATAGTCAGATTTTGTTAATTCTATGTTAATGTTGAATCGATGGTTTCGATCAGCCCCAACTTCGGGAAGGTAGAGTGGTTAAGAACACCACAATTAAACAAGCGAGTTGAGGTATCGACGCCCGCAGCTTGATATAAAAATTCTACGATTCCTAATATTTGCTATGGGCCAAAAATGGGCTGATTCTTAACGCTGACTTTAACAAATCCTAATAAGTAGCGTAGAATTGTAGTTATTTGGTATTTTGGGCTCTTTTTGGCAGATTATAATTCAATTAAGTCGTGTAAAAATAAACGAAGAGTTTTTTAGATCCGGTGAAGTATTTTGCCTTAAATTATGATAGGGGATCATGTGTTGTCAGAGCATAGTCAGATTTTATTAATTCTATGTTAATGTTGAATCGATGGTTTCGATCAGCCCCAACTTCGTGAAGGTAGAGTGGTTAAGATCACCACAATTAAACCAGCGAGTTGAAGTATCGACGCCCGCAGCTTGATATAAAAATTCTACGATTCCTAATATTTGCTATGGGCCAAAAATGGGCTGATTCTTAACGCTGACTTTAACAAATAAACTTCAGGAATCTGTCCGATTTTCATTGCCATCACCGCATAGTACGCTATGTTAATGTTGTTATCACTGCATCGTAATTTTACTTTGCTCTTAGTTTGTCATTTGATGCGACGTAAAATTTCTATCAGTAAAATGTAATGTAATGCGATGCAATCAATATTAAAGGTCATTTTGCACTAGCAATGCATGGCAGATGGGAGAGCACCGGCCTGTACGCGCCGCCTGGGGCACGCATCACAATCATTGTGCCACAAGAAGTTGTTGATGGCAAGTGGCAGGTATATTGGAGGAAACTTATTCTGCTTTATTCTAATAGTTATAATTATTCGCTATGATAATATTATTATAACGAGAAGAAGAAACTCCGAGAGAAATGTTTAATCTGTTGTTAATATATTAATTGGCTGCAAAACATTTTACTGAAACCAATGCAAGTATTTAAGTATTTTTGGCCTTGATATAGAATACTGATAAAATGTATTCTGGGAAACTTGTCATTTATGCACGCTGATTGATTTACACCTCACACTTCCTGATTAACGCCTGTTGATTTATACGCTTATCACTGGGAGCTGATTAGGGAGATTTAGATAATGCCTTCAGGAAGCCGAAACTGAAGGAAGTGTCAGCTTAATATTTAAGAGTTTTTGGCATTGATATATAATGCGTCACGTCGCACGTCTCTCCGCCATTCCAGAGCAGTTCCCGAGACCTGAACGCATTGTTGCCGACGTCCAGATTTCGGCAGGTGATTATCGTTGTTATTCTACGATGAGGTTATCGTGACGTCTGGTGCAAAACCTCGAAGACACGATACAACTTAGGAAACTATGACTTTGTTCAAAGGTGCGTAAAGAATGAAACACAAAAATGGATATTGGCCATGGCAACATTGCAACATTCAAGTGCAACATTCAAGGGCACTACGAAATTGGTCCGTCCGGCTGACAGTTGCAGGTGCTCACTTCATCAGATTGTACATCGGTCATTCCACGTTATCCTTTCGCTACCTCAATTTGTAGCTAACTAACATATTTCTCTGAATTTCTGATGTTTTATCATGTGCATTTTACCTATTTTTTATTTTGCATCAATTTTTGCTAAAGTATTTTGAATATAATTCGTTCTTAGTCAACATATTTATGGAAGAGGTCATACAAATATTTATGGTACGACTTTGTTCAAGAGAAGCGGAACCGATGATCACATTCTTTAGTGCTCCTGTAATACCAATTCTTGAATACTGCTGCCAGCTCTGGACCCCGTCACACTCGCCGCAGTGCGGCAACTGGAAGGTGTCCAGCGATCCTTCGCTTCCAGGATCAGAGGGATTGGAAGAGTTGAACTACAGTGAGAGGTTGAGGCGCCTGGGTCTGTACTCTCTGCAGAGGAGACGGGAGAGGTGTGTCATTCTGTACTCATGGAAAATGATAACCGGAATGGTGCCAAACTTCGAGAGCGAGACCTTCAGGATTGAGACATATCATAACGAGAGAAGGGGGGGACTCTGCAAGATCCCCCCACTACGTAACAGATCCGCAGTCAGATTTCAATCCTTGCGGGAAGGATCACTTTCCGTGGCAGGGCAAAGGCTGTTTAACGTCCTACCAAAGGATCTAAGAGAGGAGGAATTCACCCTGGAGACCTTCAAGAGACAACTGGACCTTTTCCTGGGCACAATCCCAGATCGACCTCCACTGCAACACTACCAGCGGCGAGAAGCAAGCAACAACATCGTGCATCAGGTGGCCCAAATGAGGGGCGGATGAACGATAATCAGAGGCGGCGATCCATCGTGGCCTGGGACTGCTACGTCCGAAACAGGTACCAAGATTACCACGTACCAAGTACCAAGGTTATTAGTATGGAACAGTAGTACAGAATAGCGATGTCAGCCTTCATGAGACCGTGTGTGTGTGTGTGCATGTAATTGCCCATCCTGGTAGTGGCAACTAGGTAAGGGAGAGGGGTGATAGGTCAGTTTTTCCGGGCACTTGGTGCCACTGGTAGTTCCACGACCATCACTGGCTCGCTGGCCCGCCAGAACCATTTTTGCATTACACAACACCCTGGACAAGCCAGGTACTCATTTATCAACCAGAGTTGGATGAATGGCTGAGTTGACCATGAGCTGAGCTTTCCGGAAGAACTCATCCTCAGTGGGACTCGAACCCGGGAGCTGGGTGCGAGAGACAGAGTCTCTCACCACTGCACCACACAGCTCATGAGACCGTCAGACCTGTCGCTGATTCTTAACATCGCAGAACATTCTAAGCTTGTTGTTCACATTCACGTATACACAAGTTAACACGTTGAGTACGGCAAGACCCATCGAGGAGTTGCAGGGAATTTGTTTCTGTTAAATTCCGCTATTTATTTTTTTTTTAATTGCATTAGACGGAAAAAATTTATGATGGCGTACTTTCTTATGAAATTTTAATAAACAAAAAAAATTAAATTTTTGCACCGGAACCTATAAATTTACTAGTAAAAATTGAACAATATTTTTTTTCTGTCCGCGGACTTGGCCGTCTTTAGGCCATTTGGCAACCGTGATGGGTCGAGCCACACTCAACGTGTGAAGATAAATTAAATGTTCTATGTTGCCTGTGATGAAAAACTCTTAGATTTAGTGAATCAAGTGAAGTAATTTAAAACCGAAATATACCCTAATAATTTTTGTTTCATAATTTCTGAAGCTTTGCTTCTATCTTCGACATTCAAATTTCATAATAAGTAGCGTAGAATTGTAGTTATTTGGTATTTGGGGCTCTTTTCTTGGCAGATTATAATTCGATTAAGTCGTGTAAAAATAAACGAAGAGTTTTTTTAAATCCGGGGAAGTATTTTGCCTTAAATTATGATAGGGGATCATGTGTTGTCAAAGCATAGTCAGATTTTATTAATTCTATGTTAATGTTGAATCGATGGTTTCGATTAGCCCCAACTTCGAGAATGTAGAGTGGTTAAGATCACCACAATTAAACCAGCGAGTTGAAGTATCGACGCCCGCAGCT